CCTCCCCCCACACTCTCAGACAGTACATTCCACACCGTAACCACTGCCTCCCCCCACACTCTCAGACAGTACATCCCAGACCCTAACCACTGCCTCCCCCCACACTCTCAGACAGTACATTCCACACCGTAACCACTGCCTCCCCCCAGACTCTCAGACAGTACATCCCAGACTCTAACCGCTCATTGAATAAAAAAGATTATCGTCATTTCATCAATCACTTCTTTTGTCAATCTTCACCAATCAATGCCCTCTGGTTCTTGATCCTTCCAACAATGGGATCAGTTTCTCTCTCTCCATTCTGCCCAGACCCCTCATGATCTTTGAACACCATGGTCAAATCTCCTCACAACCATCTCTTGCCCAGGAAGAACCCTCCCAACTGAGCATTAATTAGTTTTTGATTTTAGGATGTTTAGAGCTGACAATGACTGTTGTTGGATTACAAAGAGCCAGCCTGGGAGTTTGCCAGTGAGCCTGTATCCCTCTAAAAGAAAATCTACTAGACAAACCCTCCTTCATCATCTCAGATTTAATCTCACCTACACCATCTGGTTTTCCATCTGAATACTCAAAAGCCTGATCTCCTTAAACTGTTCTCCATGTGTTCAGAAAAATCATACACTGCTCTATCCATTGGCTGGAGCTCTCTTTCTAAACTCTTACTTTACCTCGGCGGTGCCCTTGTACTTTCCTTCCTGGTTGTATCGATAACATTGTTGGACACAGATGTCTACTCCTTTCCCTTCACCAACTACTTGGTCAATGGCAGCATGTTTGCACAGCCTGGCACAGTGATGGATGATCAGTGCTTCTGTGAAGTGTGTAGGGAGGTTTTCCCAGATTAAAGGCTGTCTCTCCCTCTCCCTCTCCCTCTCCCTCTCCCTCTCTATGTATATATGTGTGAGGAATTGTGTGCAGTCAATACAATAGTGAGACACTTACAGTAACTCCATAGCGAGTGATACTGATATACTGTAACCAGCTGAGCCATTTTACAATTCCTGGCAGATGCACCAATAATCCGGAATAGATCTAAGTGTAATTACTCAGAGTTAGTCTTTTTCACAGATAGACCACAAACAATATCACTCCTACAATTAGACCATTCAATCCCAGTACAGGATATCAGGGCCAGAGTTAAGGGGCTGAATGGCCTACTCCTATATTCTGCTCCCTAATGGTTCAGTCAGTTTTTTTTGCCCCTGAGTCACAGAGTTTTGGATAAAATTCCGCTGTAAAAGCTGCACACAAAGACCCAGGCAGACACTGCAGGATCACCCGAGTCCCTCCATTTCCAAGGGGACTGATTATAATGGGCAGGACCCAGTTTCCAGATGCCAAGCATGGCTTCCTCACCACCCTGACCCTCATGCCCCATTCCCCACACCTCCACCCCACCACACCCCTCTCCATTGTGTTTTCTGCTTCTTGAACAGGCAGTGACCCAGGGCAGAGAAAGAAAACATTACAAAGACAGAATGAAACTCCCTCTGTGACACAGCAACATTGGCGTTAATGACGACGAGAAGTTTGTTTCCAATCATTCAAAATAGTAATGGAGTGTCTGTGAGCAGTCTGTCTCTCTGAACGTGCCATGGCCTGAACGATGAGGCAGAGTTAACGACAGCAAGGGCACTAACCCTGTTCCTTTGGATCTCACTGCCCTGTAGGACCCTGTCCTGCCCTACGTGCCCAGAGAACTGCCACTCGAGAGGCAATCGACAGGAAATCCAGAGGGAGGATTTCATGAAGGATGAGAATTCAGTGTTTGGGGTGTTGGGAGATGAAGGACCAATAGAGGACAACAACAAATGGGAAGGAGTATTACTACAACCCAACACTCAGGATGAGGTATGGTGTCTAGCCCCTAGCTTTTCCGAACAATCCCATTCCCACTGTCACATACAGGATCCTCCTACATCCAACATTCTCTATGGGTAACTCAGTCAAATTTCACCCTTTTACATTCTAAGTAACTTGAAAAGCTCATTTGACTTGTTTGTTGATTCGACTTACAGTCATCAAGACAAAAGTGAGTGATAGCATAATGATCGCAATAGTTACAGAATTCCCTCCAGCTGCAATTGCCAAGACCAAAGCTGAAGAGGTATAGGAGACCATGATCAAGGTGAGAATCGATATAAAAATTGCAGGAACCGTTTGTTTCAAACCTAGGGCAAAGTAAAACAGAAAGGTGAGCTCTCAGTCAGTCACGCTGAGGTTACTGTGAAGGACTCTCCTTCTCGCTCTCTCCCATTGCCTGAGGCATGGTGACCCTCAGGTTAAACCACCACCAGTTGTCTCTCTCTAATGAGACAGCAGCCCAATGGTCTGGTATGACTATGGCAAGTTTACCACAGACATCAAACATTACAGCACAGGAACAGGCCCTTCAGCCCATGTCTGTGTTGACTATGAAGCCATTCTAAACTAATCTCATTTATCTGTACATGGTCTGTATCCCTCCATTCATTGTTTGTCCATGTGTCTGTCCAAATGTGTCTTAAACATTGCAATCATATCTGCTTCTACCATCTCCTGTGGCAGCACATTCCAGCACATTCTCTGTGTAAGAAGCTTACCTCCGCATGTCTCCTTTAAACTTTCCCCCTCTCACCTTAAACCAATGGCCCCTGGTATTTGACATTTCCACCCTGGGATAAAGACTCTGACTATCTACCCTACCCATGCCTCTCATAATTTTATATACATCTATCAGATGGTCCCTCAGCCTCCGATGATCTGGTGAAAATATCTATGTTGGTTCAGCCTCTCCATACAGTTTTTTTTTAAGCATAACCCAACAACTGTTCAACACTGGAACTGAAGAGAAGTCAAACTGGACCTGAAGCAATGACTCTGCCTTCCCTCTCTCCACAGATGCTGCCAGACCTGCTGAGTTTCTCCAGCAACTTCTGTTTTTGTTTTAAACTGTTCAATACCAATTGATTTCAAGAGGAGGAAAATCTAGAAAATATTGATTCTCAATGTACCATTGAAGAATTTATTTTGTACCTGTATTCTCTTCTCCAGGAAATTACTTCATGGGAATTTTACTCAAAGCTGGAGTTCTTCTCGAGATATGTTCCCCGCTTGGTCTAATCCACAAACATGGCAGCCAATCCATTGGGTTGCATGGCTGCCAATCTCTTAGGGTCTAGTCTTAAACAGTATGAGCCCTCACCTTGAGGGTCAGTTCTCCAGACCCTCTGTCCATTGAGTATTGTAATAACATCAGACATCCCTAGAAATCAGCTGGACATTCATAGAACATAGAACAGAACAGCACAGTACAGGCCCTTCGGCCCACGATGTTGAACCAAACTTTTACCGGAAACCTAAGGTCTATCTAACCTCCACCCCCGCTACCTTATACTATCATCCATATGCCTATCTAATAGCAGCTTAAATGCCCCTAATGAGGCCGACTCCACTACCCTCTCCGGCAATGCATTCCACTCCCCTACCACTCTCTGAGTAAAGAACCTACCTCTGACATCTCCCTGATATCTACCTCCTTTCACTTTAAAACTATGTCCCCTCGTAAAAGCTACCTCCACCCTAGGAAAAAGTCTCTGGCTGTCTACTCTATCTATACCTCTGATCATTTTGTACACCTCTATCAAGTCACCTCTCATCCTTCGTTGTTCTAAAGAGAAAAGCCCTAGCTCTCTCAACCTTTCCTCGTAAGACCTTCCCTCCATTCCAGGCAACATCCTGGTAAATCTCCTCTGCACCTTTTCCAACGCTTCCACATCTTTCCTGTAAGGCTATGGATTATTACTTGCTCTCTATAATGACAAATGTCTGAACTCCAGTCCCAGCAAGACAGGAGGACAGGGATGGGAGGGAAGGAATTCCAAACTTTTACACACAGCAAAATGGTGATGACCTGCATATCACTGCCTGCAGACATGGTGCCAACAATTATCAAAATAATATTTACAACAAGTAACTGCCTGCTGAATTTGAATAGGATCTTGTAGAGAATAAATTTGTGAGATTACAGGGATAGGACGAGGGAATGGGACTACCCAGATTGCTCTGCAAAGAGATGATATGAACTTGATGGGCCGAATGACCTCTTTCCGTGTCATAATAACTATGTAATGGTCAGGTGATGACACTTGTCTAATCTTACCTAATGTTCTTCTCCCTTTGATGTGTTGCCAGGTTGGTGGAGTGGGTAGAAAGGTGGAAGATGAGGTTCAATGTAGAGAGAAGTGTGAAGTGAAGCACTTTAATTGGAAGAACATAGAAAAACAACATAAAATAAAGGGTACAATTATAAAGGAGGGACCTGGGTGTATATGTGTAAAGGTATTTGAAAGTGGCAGGACAGGTAGAGAGCAGTTAATAAACTATAAAGTGTCTTTGTACAAGAGCATGGAGGCGATGCTGAACTTGTACGAGACGCTAGTTAGACCTCAATATTGTATATAGTTGTGGGCACCACATGATAGAAAGGTGTGACTGTGTTGGAGAAAGTGTAGAAGTTATTTCCAAGAATGGTTCCAGGAACGAGAAATGATAGATTGAAGAAGTTGGGACTGTTCTTCCTGAAGAGCAGAAGGCTGTGAGGAGATTTGATAGAAGTTTTCATCTTCATGAGGGAGCTGGATAGAGTAGCCAGGGAGAAGCCGTTCCTGCTTGTAAAAGGGTCAAGAAAGAGAGGGGCATGGACTTAAACTGATGTGCAAAAGAAGCAAGGTAGTGAGAAAAACTTCTTTCACACAGTGAGTGGTTAGAGTGCACTGCCTGGAAATGTGATGGAGGCATGTTCCATTGAGACTTGGAAGAGAGCATTGGATAGTTATTTGGATAGAAATAGTGTGTGGGGGGATATGGGGAAAAAGGCAGGAGGTTGACACTGGGTGTGCTGAGCCAGCACAGGCATGATGGACAAATGGCTACCTTTAGTGCTGTAACAATTCTGTGATTCCAAGTGGTTTTTGCGGTGAGAATTCAAAAACCTAAAGAAGTATTTTAGTTTCCACTTACCTGTGAGAAAATAAGTTGTGCTGTTATAAATAACACCTGGAATTGTCCTCAGGGGGATCAGATCAAACAATAACTTGGAAATGAAGTATGCTGGCAATGAGTAGTACCCACTGATATATTCATGACTAAAGGAAAAAAAATAAAAATCAACAAATATTAGTGGGCGAAATAAATCACAACCTTGAGATTCTGCTGAAGGTACAAATTTTGAAATTGCTATCAAAATGTGTCTAAACTGTGAGATAGTAAGAACTGCAGATGCTGGAGTCAGAGGTAACACAGTGTGGAGCTGGAGGAACACAGCAGGCCAGGCAGCATCAGAGAGAACACAATGTGGAGCTGGAGGAACACAGCAGGCCAGGCAGGATCAGAGAGAACACAGTGTGGAGCTGGAGGAACACAGCAGATAAGGATCCCGACCCGAAACGTCAGCTTTCCTGCTCCTCTGATGCTGCCTGGCCTGCTGTGTTCCTCCAGCTCCACACTGTGTTCTCTCTGATGCTGCCTGGCCTGCTGTGTTCCTCCAGCTCCACACTGTGTTATCTCTGATCCTGCCTGGCCTGCTGTACTCCTCCAGCTCCACACTGTGCTATTTGTGTCTAAACTGTGCTGGACTGGCTCAATTTCACATTACCATACAATTTGTTTGATTAATCACAATCTTTGAGAAAACACCCAACAACAGAGTGATCCAATGTAATCATTTGGTGACCTTTTCGAGTAACATGTTACTGGCTTTACGAGCAGTAACCTGCTACAGTTTTATCTCAGGATTATGCTGATATTTAGTGGCACAGACTGAAGCACATTAAACCTTTCATACACAAGACCATAAGAAACAGGAACAGGAGTGGGCCATTCGGCCCCTTGAGCCTGCTCTGCCGCTCACTGGGATTGTGACTGATCTGATGTTCCTCTCATGCACTTTCCAGTCCTTTCCCCATAACCCTCGATTCCCCGACTGATCAAGAATCTCTCGAACTTGTGAGGTTCTGATAAATTATGGTCAGACTCTAACTGCGTAGAATCTCTTCACTGATATAACATGTTTATAATACAGATATATTCAATAACATTTTTATAAAATAATTAAACCACAATCTCTTGCTTTTATATAGCACCTTTACCACAATTAAAGCATCCCAAAATGTTTCAGTAGCACATGCTCATCATTTCAGTTACTGAGAGAGTCATAGAGTTTTGACGGGATGGAAGAAGGCTCTTCAGCCTACACTGGTCATGAGGAACCCCCTTTTCCAGCATATGGTCCATAGCCTTGTTTACTATGGCATTTCAAGTGCTCATTTAAATAATTCTTAAATGTCTTTTCAGACATATTCAACCATTGCACTGTGATAAACCTAGCTTTAATTTACTGTTATTAGTGCTAAATCGTAACACTCACACAAAGGAGTCTATTGATTTGGAGGAGAATGTCTGTCCCACTGATGTTGAATGACAGAGTAAATATTTGTTACTGCCACAGCAGAAACAAACTCCCCAAAATTCTGTCATAAAACTATGAGTAATGATTTCACAACTTCCATCTTATCACATTTAACATGCTTCACAGTATTTTTCTGATTGGCTGTAAGTAAAGTTTGAGGACATAAGGAAATCCAGCTGTTCATCAGCAAACTCAATAAACAGTTTGGATTGGGTCAGATTGCTAACCTTTGACAGGGAAGTGAATCTTTTTTTAAACAGTGGGGCCACTCTCCTTAAGATTAAGGGCATTTAAAAGAGGTGTTCAAGATCATTTGGATGGAATGAAGGCCATTAGGCACAGGAGCTGAAATAGGCTATTCAACCCATCGAGTCTTCTCTGCCATTCAGTGGGATCGTAGCTGATCCGATCGTCCTCACCTCCACTTTCCTGGCTTTTCCCCATAACCCTCCGTTTCCCTTCCTGATTAAAAATCTGTCTGTCTCAGCCTCGAGTATAAAAAAGGAGGAATAGGGCAGTGGAAGCTGATTCAATAAGAACTTTCCGAAGGGAAAAGCCTACAGGACCATGGCGAAAGAGCATGAGACTGGGACTCATGGAAAGACTTTCCAAGAGCTAGCATGGGTAAGATTAAGTGAATGGCCTCCTTCCGTGCTGGGAGATTCTATTTTGAAAATTCTTTGGCTGCAAATTAGATGGGAACAGCTGCCACTGAGACCTTCTGTACTGATTTGTTTTCCATACTATTTTAAATCAAAAAGTACCTACATTAAAATCTTCTTTTCTGTGACCAGAAGTTCAATACCATAGATACTGCTGTACATCTGACAATTAACAATAAAAAACAAAAGACCAGATCTGTAAAGAAAAGAAATAAAGTAATTAGTCCTTACTATCACCCAAGAACAGTATAGAACCCGGTGATCCAGTTGATTTCTCAACCACAGGAATCTCTCTTGACCTCCGACCATAACTCAATCGCAGCTCCACTTGTAGATTAACTGACCAGAAGGGCTGAATGTTACTGTATCACAGACTGGAGAGGCTGAATGGCCTCCTTCTGTTCCAGGGTAACAAAGCAGAGGAGTTGAATGGCCTGCCCATGTTCCTACCTACTACAGCAGGGGGAATGAATGGCTGCCCATGTTCCTGTATAACGGTGTGGAAGGGCTGAATCCTGTTATTGTGCCACACACCATCTTGATGCAGAAGTAATCACCAATACTTCAGCATCACTGGAGCAGGGGGCAGTGGTGTGCTTCCTAACTGCTTGTGTCCTGCTCCTTGACATTAAGAGGCCAGCACTGCTTTGGGATTCCAGGCTATAGTTTCTACCCCTGCCCAGGTTATCAGAACGATTTCTGAGTGTGAATCATACTGACCGGTTGTGGAGCCCAACGTGATTGGTTTTCATTCGGTAAAAGACACATCCCAAAACCAGACACAGTATCACTCCAATTGTCACCTAGAGCCAAGCAAAAAGCAGGTCAGTGCAGCTAGAACTTTCTGGATGATTGCAGTAAACAATAACTGGCCAATGCTCCAGTGATGTAACTCGATTTGTTAAAATCCCTCTTTCAGATCAGACATGAACCTGAAGCTCTGCCTACTCTCTCAGGTTGATGTTAATGGTCCCACAGCCACTGTTTAATAATTGACCTGGATCGAAAAGAGATTATCTGGGCATCATCCCATTGCGGTGGGTGGGATCTTGCTGTGTGATAATTGGCTATTGCATTCCTCTACCATAACAATGACTGTACGTTGTGATTGTTTTATTGGCTGGTTTACAGGTTTGGACATCCTGATGAAGTACAAGTCTTTCCTTAAATGCGTTGACTACAGTCACAGCTCCTTTTAAAGTTCCACATAAGTGGTGTTTCCAGGGTTAATTCTTAATGTAGTTAGGGACAAAAGAACTGCAGATGCTGGAATCCAAGGTAGACAAACAGGAGGCAGGAAGAACACAGCAAGGGCTGAAGAAGGGTAATACCCGAAACCTTGACTGCTCCTTTCCTCCAGATGCTGCCTGTCAATTTGTGTAAACCTGGAGGGCAGCATTACCAGATACATTATGAATTCAGGTAGACAAACAGGAGGCTGGAAGAACACAACAGGACAGGCAGCATCTGGAGGAAAGGAGCAGTCAATGTTTTGGGTATTACCTCTCTTCAGCCCTTGCTGTGTTCTTCCAGCCTCCTGTTTGTCTACCTGAATTCATAATGTATCTGGTAATGCTGCCCTCCAGATTTACACAAATTGACGCATTTATGTGACCCTGGAATCGTTTGTTGGACCCTAGCAGCTACCTTCCCCAATCAAAAGGAATAGGTGGTTATTGTTCTTACGGCTAAAGACATCAAAGGGCTTGGGGAGAAGGCAGGGTCTGAGTTGAACGATCAGCCATGATGGATGAATGGTGGAGCAGGCTTGAAGGGCCAAATGGCCTACTCCTGCTCCTATTCTCTATGTTTCAATGTCATGAGCTGATACCGTGGAGAACTTGCGCACCCAGCATCCCTGATTCCTCTCACGTGGATGAACTCAGCAACTGGAATCAGTGGTTTTGTTGAATAGTAATTTGTTAATTATTTTTCATTAATCATGTTACCTTTCAGCTTTCGATTACAAACTGGAATTTGACTAAAATGTGCTTGCATTAAAGGAATGCTGTAATGAAAAGCAGTACCGCCCAGGGCCGTAAGAAACTACAGAAGGTGGACGTGCACAGCCCAGACCATCACAGAAGCCAACCTTCCATTCATGGACTCCATTTACACGGCTTGCTGCTGTGCGATGTAACCTGTATGCCTCTGTCTAGATTCTTTTCACCCTGTGCTCTGTATGTCCTTGCTTACTATGATCTGCCTGTACTGCTCACAAATAAAGCTTTTCACTGTACTCCGGTACACATGACAATCAATCAATCAAATCAAATCAGGTACACAAGAGTTCCCAGTGTGGGAATTGTGTAGCACAGGAGATGTATCTGTACCCCTGGGCCTGCTCCAAAGTATCTCATAACTTCTTGAAACAGGCTGATTAGAAATACTTTTCTGAAGAAGGGTCTAGGCCCGAAACGTCAGCTTTCCTGCTCCTCTGATGCTGCTTGGCCTGCTGTGTTCATCCAGCTCTACACCTTGTTATCTCAGATTCTCCAGCATCTGCAGTTCCCATTATCTCTGATTAGAAATACTTCAAAGATAAGACCAATGGTAAAACTCTAGCCTCACAGTTAGCTGGAAGTGGTTAGTTCTGCAAACACATACCACATGCTCTGTCTCCTTCCCTCTTCTCTCCAACTCCCCCATCCCAATCTCTCTCTTCTCCTTTGAGATATTCTTTAACTCTTTGCTCTTTCCCTGAGTTGCTAGTTACCTAATCCTAATATTTCCTTCTGTGGCTTAGTGTTAAATTCTGACTGTCTGCACCCCTATGGAGCACTCCCAATGTCTTACTATGTTAAAGAGGGTTTTATAAAACAGACGGGGAATATCCTCCTGAAAGGGAGCTCCATGGGGCCACAGCTCTGGGCTGTGCTTAGGGTTTAATTTAAATGGATGAAACATAGGTTCAGATGCAAGAGGATCCCAGGAGAGCCCAAAGACAGGACAGGGATTGTTGGGCTGTGTAGAGACGGAGTCCACAGGAATACGCACACCAGAAAAAATCTGAGTTAACGTTTCGGGTCCGGTGAGGAAGAGGGTTCTGAAGAAGGGTCACCGGACCCGAAATGTTAACTCAGATATTTTTCTTCATAGATGTTGCCAGACCTGCTCAGCTTTTCCAGCAACTGCTGTTTTTGTTCCTGATTTACAGCATCCGCAGTTCTTTCAGTTTTTAAATGTTATTTGTTTATTGATTAAGAAAGCTTAACATGATTCAGCGACTATTGTCTAGTATTTCAAAGTTTCTTAACCTAATTAAACAATCGATGATAATGAATCAGTTCAGGGAATAGCTACAGGACAAAAAGCTTCACTGCCTCACACATTACTTGTGTAAATTTGCAGCTCATAATACTTTCTTTTAAACTTTAAAAAATGTTGACTATTCCGAGCTGGAACATGCCTTAGAGATTCAGCACAAAGACTTTCTCTTCCTGGTTGGGGTATTTTGGTCAGAATTTCATTGGATAGCGGAAGATGACAAGAGTGGGAGACTGGGCAAAGTGTTCAATGCTGATCAAAGGTGGTCTGTTCACTCTCTGTGTGCATTCATGTCCAAGGATAAACGTAACAGTTACTGTAGAAAACCAGGGAACTTTGCAAGAACAGAAGCAATACTATCTCAGATTTATCATCAGCGATCAGTATAAAGTGACATGTTACCCCCAGCAGTCACAATGTCAGGTTACCCCAAGCACAGCTTTACAAACAGTGAAATCTTTCTGAATGCATGGTTATTTGCTGGAAAGGGATGGAGGGGGATAGGGCAACCAATTATGTAAACCAAGATTCACACCATTGGCAAGAACCACAACGTGTGAGCAGGTTGTTTGAGGGATGTGCATATTGACAGGGAGGATACTCCTCTTGATTTTTGAATATCAGCAAAGGAATATTCAGCTCCCTCCAAGAGGAGAGAAGGGATCTATTGATTTAATTTTTCATCGAGAAGGCAGCAGGGCGGGGTTCTGACAGCGCTGACTCAGAAAACTGGTCTGGATTCTCTACTCAGTCACTCGAATTGGGTTAAACCTCACAATGCTCTGACTCAAAGGGGACAGAGTCACAGTCCAACTCCTATTGGACTATAATTGTTCTTGCAGTGTTTTGATTACAATTTGAAAACTACCTCTGTGTGTAATATTTCAAAACTTATAAACTGGCATTAGAACAAACACAGAGAATGCTGGAGAAACTCAGCAGGTCTGGCAGGATCTGTGGAGAGAGAAACTGAGTTTATGTGTTGAATCCAGTCTGACTTTTGTTCAGAGATAGTAGGAACTGCAGTGGGGATAAAACTCATTCAGAGATAAATGACTTTTGTTCAGATGTTCTGCATCTGAATTTAGACTCAAAACAGTTCAGCATTCTTTGTGTTTGTTTCAGATTTCCAGCATCCACGGTATTTTCCTTTTATACTGGCATTGGAGTCTGTTCAAAAGAGATTCACTTGGTTAATTCCTGGGACGCAGGGGTTAACTTATCAAGAACAGTTAAACAGGCTCAGCCTTTATTCCTCAGAGTTTAAAGGGCTGACAGTGATCTTATTGAAACATATTAGATTCTGAGTGGGCTTGCCAGGGGAGAGGGTGAGATGATATTTCGACCAGTGGTGGGGGGGGTCTCAGACTAGGGAACACAGTTACAGAATAAGGGATGCTCATTTAAAACTGAGATGCAAAGGAATTTCTTCTCCCAGAGTGTAGTGAATATGTGGAATTCTCTGCCCAGAGAGCTGAGGAGGCTCGGCCAGAGATTATTTAAAGCGGAGGTCAGTAGATTTTTGAAATATTGGGGAGATGAGGGTGATGACGAGTTGATACCAAAAAGGAGGTGAGGCCTGGGTCAGATTAGTCATGATCTTTTGGAATAGTAGGGTAGGTTTGAGGGACAGAATGGCCTATTCCTGCTCCTAATTCTTAAGTGCTGTCATCTGTCTGTTGTATCAGGTTCCAGTGTGGGTCATTTAGCTGATCACACAAACTAAGGTCAGATTTTGAGATTCCTGTTTGTTGTCACTCTGTACATGATGTTGGGGATACAGAACAATATGTCCTGAGCTGCCTATGGCCCCCCCTCTCAGGAGGAAACTACTGAGACCATCACACCTTCCCTAAAAGACTCATCTACAGATTAATTAAACCTTATCCTAATACAAATGCTGAAATTACAAAATGTACATCTTTGACAAACACAACAGGTTCCTCTGTGAACCTTACCGTTAAAATTGGCACATGTGGGTCCCCCAGGTACTTCCTGAATATCCGCTTGCCCAACCACTTCAGCTGGTGGGAGAACGATGTTGTCCGTGTGAAGTGATCTGGGGAGGGTAGGATCTGATGCAGCCTGCTATAATCGGAGAGTTTCTCTAACTGTGTCACTAGCTGACTGAAATATGTCGAAGCATGGTACGTCTGCAGCATTGTCTCATAGATAGTGGAATCACCTTGCTGATTAGTGGGTCCAAAACCTACAGCGAAATGTCAAAAAATAATTCAGTACATTACTGGTACATTCTCCATAGCAGCACCTCAACCAGAGTCCACTTCCCAACCAATCTGTATGGTTGGAATCCCGTTTACTCATTTATCCATTGCTAACCCTCGATTCCCTGCCTAGGGAATCTATCTGCATCTGTCAGTGACATTATTCAATGACACAGCCTCCATCACCATCAGAGCCAGAGAATTCTAAACTTACCTAAAACTCTGAGAGAAAATCGTTCCCCCTCATCTCTGTGTTAAAAGGGAGCTCCCTAACCTTTAAACCATGACCCCTAGCTCTAGGATTCAACCACAACAGGAAACATCCTTCCACCTTCTCACGACTGTTCAGAATCTCATACACTTCAGTCAGGTCACACCTCAATCTTCGAAACTCCACAGGACACAAGCCCAGTTTGTCCCAACGCTCCTCATCAGACAACCCAATCATTTCAGCTTAAATCCAGTAAACCTCCTCAGAACCATTTCCAACTCAATTACATCCTTCCATCAAAAAAGGTATGGCTGAGGGAAATGGGAGCGGTGAGTGGGACAATCAACTAGCTCCTGCAAAGAGCTAGCACAGGCACAATGGACTAAGTGACGTGCCTGTTGGCTACAGGAGAGGATGAGGAGACTTGATAGGATCAAGTGGGACCCATCTGTTTTTGGTGCATTGTCAAAATGAAGGTTTCTCCATTGGTTCCTAATATCACCCTGACCCACCCACCCTGAGGTTGCAGAGACAGCAAGGGGTGTAGGGGCTGGAGGGGTGACAGAGATAGGGAGGAGGTGTAAGGGCTGGAGGAGGTGACAGAGATAGGGAAGGGGTGTAGGGGCTGGAGGAGGTGACAGAGATAGGGAGGGGGTATAGGAGCTGGAGGAGGTGATTGAGATAGGGAGGAGGGGTAGGGGCTGGATGAGGAGACTGAGATAGGAAGCAGATGTAGCGGTTGGAAGAGGATCATGGTAAATGAGCACATTACAAGTAGATCTCTTCCGGTGGACTCACAAATTTTTGAATTAGTTTGAACCAAGCTTAAACCTTTCAAATTACCCCTTATTGTGTTTATTTGGATGAAATAAATGATGATTGGAAGGCAATAAGTGTGTGATACAGGGATTTTTTTTTAGACAGCAGTACAGTGTATTATTAAAGAAATGATTGAACACTGCTTGATATTAGAAACGTCATCACACACGTACCATTCTCTCTTTGATTTTCTGCAGCTTTGCACAAGATATCAAGCACAACGTCAACAGGGTTGCAATGCACGTGAAATTTATATCCTATATTTGCAAATGAAAAAATAGATTAAAACTCAATCACTGGCAACAATGTATGATCACATTTGTGATCAATGCTATCGATGCTTGTTAAAGTTTTAGATGTCGTGATTGTAATGAGGTCAGCCAATTGGATCTCATAGAAGATGAGTTTCCTGATTGGGGCTGTTAATCCGGTCCAATCAGGGAGTCTTGGCTGACAGATATAAACAGGAGTGTCAGGGGCTGTGCTCACTTAGAGAGCTGGCTCTAGGTAGTTGGATCAGTGTCAAAGACACTCCATGTGTAAATAAATGGGGACTTGGTGATGGGATACTGGCCTCTGTGGAGTAATTTCATTTAGGATCTTCAGGAAAAACAGAACAAATAATTCCAGGACAGGAAAAGAATGGATAACAACACAGTGAGAAACATTCAAATAAAATTTATGGAGATGACATCTAAACAAAGGATTTCAGTCAAATCTGGGCCACACAGGAGGATATCATTTAAACCTACAAAAATCTCTTTCCATTATGTTTGTAATAGAGTATTTTTGATGGTATAGCCTCAATGGGCCGAAGGGCCTTTTTACTACTGCATGATTCTATGATCATGTATAAGGTACATTAATATTTTTAAATGAATTTATGTTCATTTACCCAGCAGCGAGATGAAGATGACATTGGATGTTATTGTTCCAGGCCCTGGCAAGCGCTCTGTTTCCTATTAGTCCCCAGATTTCAGGAGAGTGTGCAGGATTTGTCACAAACTCCGATTCCATTTCTTTTTCAAACAGCTGAAGGACCCAGCTGTTAAGACGAAGGTGCACTGCTGTGGTGAAGTGTAGTACAAAGAAAAGGAGACAAAGGGATGAGGGACCAAGTAGGAGTGGAGCCTGGGTAAGAGAATCGGAAAGAGAGTGGCAGAAAGAGAGAGCCTGGCAGGAGAGATGCTGTGGTTAACAGGCTCCAGGCTGTCAGTGCTCAGGAGAAGCCAGGCAGAAAATCTCTAACTCTGCATTGGATTGAAATGGACCGTCAAAGATGGTGCTTCTATACAATTAAAGTACTGCATTTGACTCCGAGGATCTGATTCATCGAATCCTGGCAGACAATAAGTCTAACTAGGATTTGGGGTTAATGTTTGGAAGCTTTTGATTATTCAGTTCAGCTGTGAGTGGGAATGAAGGAAGCCCACAAGCAGTATCTGCTTAGGGCACCTGAGAAATATTGGTCTTCGGAGAAACCCGGGGGTAGTGCCAGCTTGGTGAAGCTAGCTGCCTGTGAAAGACTTAGACTTGCACCGATAATGGATGTACCTCTACTACACCTTGCTGTTTCTTGTGCTTTGATGGGTGCTTGACCACACTTTGTCCGTTAAAAAAATTTAACTCAGGTTAATTTATAAATGTTTGAGTATAAATTGTACATGAAAACCATTTTACTTTCCTAACACTATATAATAAAATCCTATGTTCAAACTCACAGAATCAGATTTGCTTATTTCTTTCAGTAAGTATAGGAATCTCAAACCTTGTCTACCTTCATAAAGAAAGCTACTGGACCCTTGCCAGACTGTAAATGTGGTGGTCTCATCAGGGAATAAAACATAGATAAACCAAGGAGTGGAGAGATGAATGGAAGGGTTCAGTGAGAGAACGTTGAGCTACATTTTCTCAATGTATCTCAAGAAATTGAAAATGCCATTCTCTTGGCTATAACGAAACCTGATCACAGTATATCACTCCCATCATTGTACATACAGGATTCATCCTGTATCCCTTAGCCTTATGGGGAGAAGGCAGGAAAATGGGGTTAAGAAACACATTGGTTATAACCAATCAGTGGAGCAGGCTCAATGGGCTGAAGGGCTGAAACCTGCTCCAATTTCTCGTGGTCTTCTGGTCATCATTTTGAAAAAGAGCCGGTGAGTTCTTCCTGGTGTCTTGGTCAATATTTCTCCTGAAACTGTTATCACCAAAACAGATTATCCGGTTATTAGCACATGGCTGTTTGTGTGATCTTATTGTGTGCCACATTTCCAGTGACTATACTTGATGGTTGGTTTCAAAGGGTCTTGGGATGTCCCCATGTGAAAGATTGTGTAAAAATGCAAGTACTTCCTCAAAGTCAGGTAGCATGGTGGCTCAGTGGTTAGCATTGTTGCCTCACAGGACCAGGGTTCGATTCCACCCTCGGGCGACTGTCTGTGTGGAGTTTGCACATTCTCCCTGTGTCTGTGTGGGTTTCCTCTGGGTACTCTGGTTTCCTCCCTCAGTCCAAAGATGGGTAGATTGGCCATGAGAAATTGCCCTGTAGTCTCCAGGGATGTGTAGGTTAGGTAGGTCATAGGGTAATGGGTCTGGGTGGGATGCTCTGAGGGTCAGTGTGGAATTGTTGGGCCAAAGGGCCTGTTTCCGCACTGTAGGGATTCTACTCTATTCTTCTAAAGTGGATAATTCTTGAATTCTCAACAAAATCTTTTCTCTCAATATCAGCCATTGAGTCGGATGGTTAACCTCTATTTGACATGGTCTTTGGAATTTGAAAGTGAACAATGAGCAAAAAATACTTAAACTCAAAAAAAAAAGCCCTGATACACTTTCGATTCATTCAAAATCCTTACCTATTGCTTTAAAGTGATCAATGGAACTCCTGGCAGGTCCATGGTACATTACTTTGCCACTGGTGAGCAGTGTCAAGGAGTCAAATTGTTTGAACATTGAATACCGAGGCTGGTGAACCGAGAAGATGATTGTTTTCCCTTGCCATGCTAACCTGGGAGGAATGCATTTGTATATTTGTGAATATCTGTGTCAAATAAAAACCTGAAGCCTTCTCAGGGAGTAGAGGAAGACAGTTAACTTCCACCGGTAGTGACCCACTTCTACAGACCATGAGCCTAATTTCAATTCCTGTTTCAAATTCCACAGCAATAGATGGTGGCATTTAAATTCAATTAATAAATCTGGGATACAAAACCAGTCTCAATATTGTGGCCATGACCACTATTGTAAAAGCCCATCAGGTTCACTAATGTCCTTCCATCTGCTGCCCTTACCCAGTCTGATTTCACTGCAACGTAGGTGACTCCAAACTGAAATGACCCAGCAAGTCTCTCAGGTCAAGGACATATAGGGACTGGCAACAGATGCTGGCCTGGCCAGTGACGCCCACATCCCATTAAAGAATAAATAAAAGAACCATATATCTACAATAGGCACAGTATATCAAACAGCATCTGCGATGAGAAATCAGAGTTAACATTTTGGCTCCAGTGACCCTTCCTCAGAACCCTTCCTCAGTCACTGGACCTGAGATGTTAACTCTGATTTTTCTTCACAGATGCTGCCAGACCTGCTGAGCTTTTCCAGCAACTTCTGTTCTTGTTTCTGTTTTGATACAGTATATTGTGTGCAGTTTTGGGCCCCATATCTCAGGGTGGATGTACTGGCCCTGGAGCGCGTTCAGAGAAGGTTCACGAGAATGGTCTCAGGAATGGAAAGCTTAACATATGAGGAACGTTTGAGGACTCTGGGTCTATACTCGATGGAGTTTAGAAGGATGAAGGGGTATCTAACTGAAACTTACAGAATACTGAGTGGCCTGGACAGAGTGGATGTTGGGAAGATGCTTCCATTGCTAGGAGAGTCCAGGACCTGAGGGCACAGTCTTGGAGTAAAGGGAAGACCTTTTAAAACAGAGATAAGGAGAAACTTCTTCAGCCAGAGAGTGGTGAATCTATGGAATTCACTGCCACAGAAGGCTGTGGAGGCCAGGTCATTGAGTACATTTAAGACTGAGATAGATAGGTTCTTGATTATCAAGGGGATCAAGGGTTACAGGGAGAAAGCAGGAGAATGGGGTTGAGGAACTTATCAGCCATGATTGAATGGCAGAGCAGATTTGATGGGCCGAATGGCCTAATTTCTGCTCCTATGTCTTATGGTCTTATGGTCTTATCTATATCGGACAGTTCTTCCAAAAGAGCTGCTACAGGTACAATGGGCTGAATCGGTTCCTTCCTTCTTTATCCAACAACAGGTGCATAAAATCCTGCTTAAAACACCCATCTGCCATGCACAAACCTCACTCTCAATCTAATTCTTGCTCACATCTTTGTATCAAACTTTATCACAGGAAATATCTGTGTCAGCATTTCCGTTTCAGATTTCTTCTGTCAACAATCACTACTTAGTCATATTCATTCTATCATGGGATGTGGGCGTTGCTGGCTGGACCAGCATTTATTGCCCGTCCCTGGTTGCCCTTGAGAAGGTGACGGTGAGCTGCCTTCTTGAACCACTGAAGTCCATGCGCTATAAGGAGACCCGCAATGCCCGTGGGATGGGAATTCCAGGATTTTGACCCAGTGACAGTGAAGGAACAGTGATATAATTCCAAGTCAGGATGGTGAGTGGCTCGGAGGGGAACTGGCCGGGGGTGGTGTTCCCATGTATCTGCTGCCCTTGTCCTTCCAGATGGAAGTGGTCATGGGTTTGGAAGGTGCTGTGTGAGGATCTTTGGTGAATTTCTGCAGTGCATCTTGTACATAGTACACACTGCTGCTACTGAGCGTCGGTGGTGGAGGGCGTGGATGTTTGTGGATGTGGGGCCAATCAAGTGGCTGCTTTGTCCTGCAATTATACAGGGCCTCGGTGAGACCACAGCTGGAATACTGTGTGCCAGTTTTGGTCTCCTTTTCTGAGAAAGGATGCTCTGGCTATCATGGCAAGGTTTCCCAAACATTCTGGGCTGGCAGGCCTGATGTATGAAAAGAGGTTGAACTGGTTAGGATTATATTCCCTGGAATTCAAAAGAATGAGGGGCATCTTATAGAAACCTGCAAAACATTAACAGGTCGAGACAGGGTAAATGCAGAAAGGATGTTCCTAATGGTCAGGGAGACCAAAACCAGGCATGGTTTACAGTAACACTCTCAGGATACAGGGTAAACCTTTTAGGATTTGAGAGGAGGAGAAATGACTTCACCCAGAGAGTGGTGAGCTTGTGGAATGCACTGCCACAGAAAATATATGATTTCAAAAAGGATGTGGATGTAGTACCTGGGCTAAAAGGATCAAAGGGTATGGGGGAGAACGCAGGAACACGGCAATGAATTGGATGATCAGCCTTGATCATATTGAATGGTGCATCAGGCTTGAAGGGCTGAATGGCCTACTCCTGCCCCTGTTTTCTATCTTTTCTTTCTTTATGATGTAGTGTCACTCTCCTGCCTTTTCCCAGTATCCCTGCAAAGCATTATTCTCCGAATAACCATCCAATGTCATATTGAAGACCACAACAGAATGTGCCTCCACCACATTCCCAGACACTGCATTCCAGACCTTGACCATTCACTGGGAGACAATGTCTTTTCTCACATCACCCTTGCTTTGTTTGTACATCACTTTAAATCGATGCTCCTCTTGTTTTTGTTCGTTTTACAAGTGGGAACATCTTCTTCCCATCTATTCTATCCAGCCCACTCATGATTTTGAAAACCTTTATAAAATCTCCTCTGAGCCTTCTTCTCTCCAGGAAGAGTAGACCCAACCTCTTCAATTTATTCTCATCACTAAAGCTTCTCATCCTTGGAACCATCCTTGTACATCACTTCCGCACTCTCTCCAAAGTATTCACATCTTTCCTGTGACATGGCGCCTACAACTGTGCATGACTCTGCAGCTGAGGTCTAACTGGTGTCTTGTACAAGCTTAATATCACCACCTTGCTCTTGTACTCTCTGCCCCTATTAGTTAAACCAAGGACACTGTATGTTTTATTAACTGCTCTCTCCATCTGTCTTGCCACCTTCAATGATCCAAGCACGTATATACCCAGCTCCCTCTGTTCCCTCACCCCTTTTACAATTGTACCCTCTCTTTTATATTGCCTTCAATGCTCTTCCAACCAAACTCCATCGCCTCACACTTCTGCTCATTGAACCTCATCTATCACCACTCTGCCCATTCCACCACCTTCCCAATGACCTTCGGGGCTCCACATTGTCCTCCAGTCAGTTTACAAATCTTCCAATTGTAGTGTCGTCTGAAAACATGTGAGATTGTCCCCTGCACTCCAAGATCCAGATCATTAATATTACTATGAGATATATCATTAATATAACATTCAGATCAATAGCTGTGGGTCACAATTTGTTTAGGCAGCAGCTCAAGCAGCTGGGACAAGATGGAACACTCTTGGGAAGAATTCCTAGAGAGAAACAGCTTTCATTTCACAGCAGTACCTTCTCAGTAAGTGCAGGACAGCGTTTGCATTACTGGTATCCAAACCACTTGTTGGTTCATCCAGGAAGAGAACACCAGGGTCTTTCAGCAGCTCCATTGCGATACTGGCTTTCCTTTTCTCTCCCTCAGAGACACAGCGAGCGAATGGTGTTCCAATCTAGCAAAAACATCACAATATTTAAGAATAAGTACTGGCCTAACCAGCAACAGCTGCATTCTGTGTATAAATAAACAATTTGTAAAAACCTAATTCCCAAGATACATGGTGCAAAGTTGAGGCAATATAGAATCCTGCAGAAGAGCAGGAGGCAGTTCAGCCCATCGTGATAGTATCAGCTGGGTGAGGTTTAACAGGGGAGGAACATACGTGTGGTGGCTGTGGGGGTGGGGGGCTGGTGTTGGGAAGGGTCATGCTCAGTACCTCACTCTCTGGAAGGGTGTATCAATCCAGTGAGCCTCCCCAGACCTCAGCAAACCAGAATGTTCTGTGATGTGAACATTCACTAGCGACACTAGGGTTTATTCAAATTGAGACAACCTTTAAATCTGAGTCCTCTGCTTCCCAATCCTCAATCAAATCTCCTCCCAACCCTCTCCTCTTGAAGATACAGCCCGAGCCTCTCCAAGTGATCCACATCACTGAAGTTACTTATCCCTGAACCATTCCTGCGAATACATTCAATAATCCCCACTATAGCCTTCCTGTAAATTTAATGTAAAATATAAATTCACATCCTTCCAAAAGTGTGGCACCCAGAATTGGATGTAATCCTCCAGCTAAGTTTATTCCAGAATACTCCTATTCAAATACTCTATTTACAGAGCCTGGGGTTTTATTTGCTTTATTAACCATTTTTATGCTATCTTCATTGTTTTGTGCATTCACCCCATGCTCCCTCTGCTCCTGCACCCGCTTTAACACAGAAAACAGGAGCAGGAGTAGGTCATTCGACCCTTCAAACCTGCTCTACCATTCAGTATGATCATGGCAGATCATCCAACTCAGTCTTCTGTTCCCACTTTCTTCCCATAACCTTTGGTCATTTTAGTGCTAAGAACTACATTGGCCTCCTTCTTGAAAACATTCAATGTTATGGCCTCAGCTGCTTCCTGTGACAGAGAATTCCACAGGCTCCCCACTCTCTGGGTGAAGTCATTTCTCCTCATCTCAGTCCAAAACAGTCTCCTCATTTCCTTAGGCTGTGACCCCTTGGTTCTGGACTCCCTGATCATCAGAAACATGCTTCCTGCATTTACCCTGTCTAGTCCTGTTAGAATTTTATGGGTTTCAAAGAAGTCCCCCCTTATTCTTCTGAAATTCTACCTTTAATTTTAGAGATTCAGTTTTTACGTTTTATTTCATCCATTATTGTCCTCTGTCTGTGTACTACCAAAATGAATCATTCAAACCTCTCTGCATTAAATTCCATTGGACACATAACTATGTGTTTCACTAACCTGCAAATGTTGTGAAGTCAATCACTATTCTCCACAACATCTTTGTGTTTTGTGTAATTTAGAAATTTTGAAGTGATACCCTGAAATCGCAAGGGTCACTGGGTCACAAATATACATCCAGGAAAGCAATGGTTCTAACATTGGCATCTGGAAAACTCTATACATCACTCCACTCCGAGAAACCATTGTTCACTATAACTGTTTGTTTCCTATCACTCTGTCCATTCCATGGCCAAATTACCATTGTCCCTCTTATTCCAAGGATTTCAGCTTTGCTGAGACAAATGCATGATGTGACAACTCAACAAGTGCCTTTTGGAAGTCTACATACAACAAAGTCACCAATTACACTTATCAATGTTCTCTACTTCATCAAAAAAACTCAGTCAAATTAGTTAAACTCAGTATTTGCCCTTAGTCAATCCACATTGGCTTTCCTCAATGAATCTACATTTCTCCAAGTTTCTGTTAATTTTGTCCTTCCCATCACCGTGGTTAGTGAGGTGACAGCCAAGTCTCAGCGGTTACCTTTCCTGATTCGGAGTCAGAACGTTGTGGCTTCACATCCTGTGGCAGGAATGTGAACAGCCTTGAGGGAGTGCTGCATTGTCAGAGGTACTGCCTCCCAGAGGGAACAGTAAATTAAGCCCCTCGTCTTTCACTAAAGGGGGATGGGAAAGTTTCCATAAACAGCAATGTTTGGCCAATATTTATCCCTCAATTAACATCACAACATCAAAGTTACCATAAAAAGCATTTACAATACAATTAGGAAGCAGAAAGAGATAGCCCTGAGAGATGAGAAATATTTAGAACTGAAATGCGATCTTTGGTGGTGTGGGGTTCCAAATCTGCTGGATTCCACTCAGTGAGATTACAATGAAGATGTACTCTGGCCAGATGGAGGGAATTTAATTTAATTTAAGTTGATTTAATTTAATTCAGTTTGATCTAAAGATTCCCCATCACAACCTGACAGGACAATGTTGATGCACATCTGGCTATTTGCACTGACCTTCCATTCATCCCAGTGGACCATAGGGTCTACTGTGGCTCTGCAGTAGGCCCCATTGAAATGCAGGAATAACAACAATGTGCATTTCCGTGCAACCATTAACATGGCAAAGCATGTCGAGGTGCTCCATGGGGGCATAAGGAAAATGGACACTGAGCCACACGAGGGGACAGAGGGGCAGGTGACTAAAGGCTTGGTCAAACAGCCAGGTTTTGCGAAGCTGCATCTTAGCAGAGAGGACAGAAAGAAATGGTGAGAGATTCAGGGTTCAGACAGCTGAAGGCCTGGCCACTTGCAGTGAGTGTAAAGGAAAAGGGAGGCAGCTGATGATGTCTGGGAGGGAAGTCTCAGCAAGTACAGGTCCACACTGGAGATGTAGGCATCATACCTGAAGCATGGTGTGTGGAGGCACAGCCTGAGCTGGAAGTGGCCCCAGTGAACATGCTGTTATCAATGCTAACGGTGGAGCTAATGGCTAGAACAACTCCATCAGAAAACACACGAAGGAAGTAGCTACAAATTAGATTCTGGTAACATGAGTCCATTCAGCAGACAGGAGGAACAGTAACGTATTATAACAAAGGGCAACAAAATAACCAGAGGGGTTTCATCATTTTAGACAGAACATTTGCCAAGCTTCGGTCGCAAGCTGTACCCTAGAGTTTTCTATTTTACTGAGTCCAAGCTCTTCAATAAGGTTATTGATTCTTCTTGTTCTTTCAGATTTGGTGAGATTCTTAGGCAGCCTCAACGCAGCACAGAATTCCAAGTTCTCCCTCACAGTCAGTGTCCCAGTCATCATGTAATCCTGCACAATGACAGCGTTTTTCATTATGTGAAGAACACGACATTCAGAATCACCAATTACTGCATCTCATAAACGAAGGGAAAGCTAATCATGAAACTATTATGTTGAGAGCTGTCTAAAGAGGGATGTGCTGAAATGATGAATTTGTGTCTGTCGACGTTAGTGGATTTTTTTTATTCATTCATGGGATGAAGGCATCACTGGCTAGGCAGCATTTATTGCCCATTGCCCTAATTGCCCAGAGGGCAGTTTAAGAGTCAACCACATTTCTGTGGGTCTGGAGTCATATGTAGACCAGACTGGGTAGGATGACAGATTTCCCTCCCTGAAGGGCATTAGGATAAATTGGAATTAAAATCTCATTTGACTCCTAGACCTGGGGTGTGTGTGTGTTCACACAAGTGTATGTGTGCGTGTGTGTACCTGTGTCTGTGCCTGTGCCTGTGTACACACTGCATGTCTTAATGGCTAGTGTCACTGTGAGGGTCTGGTGTCCCCATGTATCTGCTGCCCTTGTCCTTCTATATGGAAGTGGTCGTGAGTTTGAAAGGTGGTGTCTGAGGATATTTGGTGAATTTCTGCAGTGCATCTTGTAGATAGTACAAACTGCTGCTACTGAGTGTCAGTGGTGGAGGGAGTGGATACCTGTGGATGTGCTGCCAGTCAAGCGGCTGCTTTGTCCTGGATGGCGTCAAGCTTCTTGAGTGTTGTTGGAGCTGCACTCATCCAGGCAAGTGGGGAGTATTCTATCATACTCCTGACTTGTGCCTTGTAGATGGTGGACAGGCTTTGGGGAGTTAGGAGGTGAGTTGAGTTCCCAGCCAGTATCAATGCTCCAAAGCAGGTACATTGGGGTTAGAATCATGGAGTCTTTGTGGCACAAAGAGGAACCCATTTGGTCCATCCAGTCCATGCTGACTCTCTGTATGGCAATCCAGTCCAAACCTCTGCCCCCTCTATCCACATAAAAGTTAGTGGACATGCATTAAAACATAATTCATAATATTATGGAAGAACAGGCACTGAAAGGTAAGATATAAAAGAAAAGCAGAAAGTGCTGGAGAAGCTCAGCAGATCTGACAGCGTGTGTAAATAGAGAAACAAAGTTAATATTTTAGGTCCAGTCTGACCTCCTGCAGATAACGAGTTAATTAGAGTGTGAAATTCTCACGTATATGACATATCCAGCAATGCAGTTGAAGTTAGTTGGTTGCTGCACACCATCAATGAGGACCTCGCCACTAAATCCTGAGGGCTCCTTCCTCGCAGCCAAGATGTCCAATAACCTGGGAGGGGGAGACAAACTATGAGTGGTCTTTGCGAGCAGCTAACCTTCATCTGTATTTACACAAAGCTAGTGATGAGCTAAGTGCCAAAGACACTCACGTGGTTTTCCCACTCCCCAGGGGGCCCATGATGGCATTCAATCCAGGTTTCATGATACCACTGCAAAACAAGGAAACACAAAAACAGTGACACATGTGTGCGCTCATGTACATGCTCCAAACTCAGGAAACATCTGTTACAACACAGCGAATTCAGTCCAGCTCTTATTTAGAACCATGGCCCTTGATAACAAAGCAAACAGGGCCTACAGCCCATCAGGGATGGCCAGCTGCAGTAAGA